AATTGGAACTGGACTAGCACTGAGGTCTAATTCCTTGTGTAAGATAATGACTTTGAAAGCACTTAATAAGTGCTTATTAGGTGCTTACTATTAAGTGCTTAATACGTGAGTGCTTAAGTGCTTAATAAGCACTTAATAAGTGAGTGCTATGGAACCCTAGAGAATGACTTATTTTGCTAATTACTTCCACATCACATGTCAACTTCAGAATATTTACTGAAGTTATTTAGGGAGACTGCCCTAAAGCTGATGGCTGGGTTCCTGGACGGGCTGATGGAGACTGGTTGGGTGGCTGTTGGGATACTCCAGGCCATTGAGGATGAGAGCCTGAACTAGGCCAGTGTGAAGGAAAAACTGAACAGAAAGGAGGAAGAGGCAGTATGGACATGGTCATTCAGAGGCTCCCAATCTGGAGGACAGGAAAGATGAGGCTGTTGTTACCAAATAGGGAAGCAGGACTGAGAGCCAGGCATGGGGGAAAGGGCTGTGGCAAGGTAGGGAAAAGCAACAATACCTGCAGGTGTTAATGTTCCGGGCCTGAGCAGGCTGGTGATGACCCTTATGCCTTCCTCCCTCCCCAGCTGCTGCTCACAGTCAGCCTCCAGGACAAGGAGGGACAGAGTACAGTGGACTGTGGGCTGGGAGACCTGGGCTCCACGTCCGTCTGCCATTAACTCCCTGTGTGGTCTTGGACTGACCCTTTCTTTTCTTCGGACCTGAGTTTCCTCATTTATAAAATGAGAACCTTGAACCGAACCAACTCTTCAACCAGGTCAACCATGATGGCTTGATAGGATCATGATCAGTGGGAAAGGGGGGATTGGGCTCACTGCTGGCTAGTAGGATGTGGCTTATGAGCCTACTCTGCCTCTACCTCATCCCTGACACAGACAACAAAACTCTGAGACTACCCTTGAAAGGATGTCTGTCATTGCATCATTGACACAATTTGGCAGGTGGGCTGGTCGTGATGGGAAAGGAAAAACCTTGAAATCATTGTATAAGGTGATCTTTAAGGTCCTTTGTGGCCTTGATATCCTTTGAAAGGTGGGCAGACAATAAACAAATGGAATGCAAAGCAGCATTATAGACCAGGAGAGGGCAGAGACAGGTGGCTGGAGTTAGAGAAGCAAATTCACTCCCTCTCTTCCCCTCAGTTCTGGAGAACTTGCTGTTGAGGCAAAGAACCTGGGCCTGACCAGGTGAAGGGAGTGATCCATGCTGGCAGGGTGTGGCCCCTGCACAGGATGCAGAAGAGATACCTCTGTCATGAAGCAGGCCTGCTGAGCCGGGCGAGGCTGCGCTTCCTCCGCCAGGCCATTCCCTGGCAGCTGCAAGCTCTCTTCTTGGCACTGGTGCAAACTTCCTGCTTTACATGAGTCTAATATTCCATACCCTGTGACTTTTGGTGGGTGCTGGAGGCAGGCCCAAGACCTAAGATCAACATTCCTCCTGCTCCTGGAGCTCCTCGTTCCAGCTGGGGCCATTTCCACCTTAAAATGCAGACAGACTGGGACACAACACATACACCCTAGACCGCCAAAAAGGTCTAGTGGCCAGAAAGCCGGGCATCTCTATAGCCTGTTCACTTTTTTAACTCTGCCATGACCTAAAAATGAACTCCGAGACATGGAAGAAAAAGAGATGACAGGTTGTCCTAATAATGGGAGCTTGTAAACAGAAGGACCAGCTTCTGGGCACAGTTTCAGTTTGGGGGTGTGGCAAGGAGAACCCTATTTCATTCGCTTCTGTTTTTTGCTGGCTGCGTGGCTCTGAGCAAGTCACTTTCACTGTCCGGGCATATAATGTCCAGGGAGATAAGCATGCTGCTGCCCAGAACGGTTGGGAGAATCTATTGGCAGAACAAAACAGGCATAGAATCTCTTGGAACAAAATCCCATGTCAAGGGATAGTGGGGGTCAGAAGGTGGCCCACGGGTGGAGAAGCCACAGCTGTGCTCCCCACTGACCACTGCAACTCAGTCCTCTATGAGTCCCCTTCCCTTCTCTGGGCACATGGAATCCCAGCGCAGTGCATCTGAAACAGTGGCTGAAGGAGATAACGGGGAGAGGCCATGACAGTGCCTCAATCCTCCCATAGCTGGGCAAGAGAGGAGGGTTCTGGTGGCTTGAAAGTTGGATGATGGGACTCAGCCAGGACTCTGGCTGGCTGGGGCTGCTGGTCTTGTGTCTTTCTCCTCTCCTGTCTTACCACTCCTATCAATATGATGCTGTGAGAAGTGGTCTGGGAGGCTGGAGACCTGAGTGCTGGGCTTTGCTGTGTCTCTGATGCCATGTGACCCCCTTTCCTGGGGCTCCGGCTCCTCCATTGTAAGATGGAGTCAGGTTCAGGGCTGTCTTAAAGGCCCTTTAACTCTGTCAGCCTGTGGTTCCATGATTCTCTCTGCCAGGTTTAGTCACCTAGAAACCAGCGGTTACTAGGATCCCATGCACGTCAGCAGTTGTCACTCTTTCCGGCTTCTGCAGTCCTTTTGTAGAGACAAGGAGCCTGGGCAGCCTGAAGTTGGACTGGGGAGGGGATGCAGCAAGAAGAGGAGGACCCCATCTGTTCCCTAGCCTCTTCCTTTCAATTGGTAGGAGGCAAACACCTCTCTGGGGCTGAGTCCCCTTTCATCCATTCCATTCTCCACATGCCCCATAACCCTATCCCTTTACCCTGGGGTTGGGGGTGAGATGAGTGGTTGGGTCCTAACCCAGAGCTAAGACATCTCAACTGTAAGAACTTGGGAGCAGAGATGGGCATGTCCAGGCTTTCATTAGCCAGCAAGTCCTGACTAGCTGTATGTGATATGATTATACCTCACCCTAAAACTTTTCTAGACCATCCCCATCCTATTCTCTCTGAGTCCATTTATCCCTCCCCAGAGTTCTGCAGAGAAGACATAGCTATGATGAGTTATTCATAGAGTCCAGGTTCTCCCCGCTAGCCTTCTTGAGGCAGGGCCCAATTCGTACCTTCTTTGACCCTCCCCAGTCTGAGAGGTTGGGACTCACTCCATGGTGCTGGCCTGTCTATGGCCCACCCCCAACATCAATGTTGAAAATCGACCCCATTCCTGACCTGGAAAATGCCTTCTGAGTTGGGGATTATGAACAGGGATGGATAAAAAAGGAGGGGGCTTGGACAAAGTGGCTTCACATCCATTTAGACTGACTCCAAGGAGAGGCTGATTAATGGGATTTAGGCTGAGGACAGAAAGCGGGTGAGTAACATGGAAGGAAGCCTGTGCTTGCAATGGGCTTCCTGAGAAGTGGATAGAATTTTGGAAACGGACTCCTAGACTCATAAGATCTTAATTAAAGTGAAGGCCCAGAGGATTTTAGAAACACAAGCTCAGAGCTTGCAAAAATGTGAGTTATGCATGTTGGGAGGCTGGAGACAGAAATTGCTCTCTTTGAGTCTATCCCTACACCTGGTTTCTGCCTCCTTCCCCACCCACTCCCACTCAGTGGGTAGAGGAGAGGTCTACAGAGCCCACCCCGGTACACACTGTCCAAGGAGATCAGCATGCTGGCTCTTCCCACTCTTGGCCTCAATATCCCCACTCCAGGTATGGGCCACACACCTGCTGGAAATAGACTGAGGCTCCAGAGAATTCTACCTCTCCTTCTGAATTAGCAGTCCCCAGCTTTCTCCAACTACCAGGTTTCCTCAGGCTAATGACAGTGGGTCCTGGGTAGTGAGGCTGCCCCAGAGGAGGAAATTGCAGAGAACAGCTTGTGGATTTTTCATCTTCTCCAAGCATCCCCTCTGAGGCCCTCAGCTTCATTGTGCCCCATGCACTCCCACCCCCAAACTCCCCCCTGCAGATGGAGAAACGGGGGTCCAGGAACAGGTAAGGACTCAGGGTCCTGAGTGTTCGGCACTGTCACTCCAGAGCTCTTTCTAGCACTGATCTCTGCCTCTTCTACCAACGCCCTGAATCCAAGTGGCCATTTCTACCTGCCTGTATCATTCCTGGACTAGAAGAGCCCCCCACAGCAGTTCTTCAGGACCAGGCTCACCCAGCTGCCTCTCCCCTTTCTCGTTGTCTGTCTCCCTTGGAACTTGCACAGCCCACCCAGACGCCAGGCATGTTTTCTGTGACGCCCTCCCTCTCAGGTCCTACTGAAGGGGAGCAGCTCAGGCACGGAGGTGACATAGATGTAACAAGGCTATCCCCGAGGTGGCAGTGGGGAGAAAGTGCGAGCTCGGGGGAAAGAGACCTTCCTCCCTTAGTCATTCTGCCCGCCTGAAGCACCAGGTTTCAGCTCTCCAACAGATGGAACTACGAGACGACGACGGTCGGGGGCGGGGTCGCGGCGGCAAAAGGGGTTCAGGGGGTCCCTCGCACCTGGGGATCGCCCATCTGGCGGGGAGCCTGGGAAAAGTGGTGCATTGCACTAAGCGCTGGACACCGAGGGGCTAGGTTTGTTCTCCTGGCCCCCCGCCCGGAGGCTCACTCACCTTCGACTTATCTTGTCCCCGGCTCTGCGGGAGGAAGCCGGCCAGGAGTAGGGAGAGCAGGCAGGACGCCTGCAGCAGCCGGGCCATGGCGGGCTGGGGGCACACTCAGGGTCGCCTGAGTCGCTGCCTGATCCCTGGCCACCGTCCGTCTGAGGTGTCCGGCGCTCCCAGCCACCTTTCAAGCCCTCGGGTGTGACCAATCCGCGGCCAAGCCGGGGCCCTTGCAGCCAATCGCTAGGCGGCTGGGATTTCAGGGGCGGGCACGACTTACCCTCAGCTCCCCCTTCCCTGGCCCGGGGCGACAGTGACATAAGCAAATCTGGGCAGAGAGGTGGAAGTCAGGTCCCTGTGGACGTGGGAGGCAGTCCCTTCCTCTTTTGGCTCCAAAGTGCGAATGGAGGCGGGCACAGCGGTCTCTGTTACAGCGAAAGGGGGCTAATAGCACCCAAGAACTGCTGGAAGTCTCCATTCTGGGAAGCATTCCTTATTCCTATCCAGGCTTTAAAAACACCTTGCGATGGTCCTCTGGAAATTGAGGGTTTAAAATTTCAGCAAGATCTGAAGTTAAACTTCCAGAAACATTTACTATATATAGGTTTAGTGCTTAAGAAACAAAGAGTGGGTGTCCTGGGATTTTGAAAACCCCAGTCTGGTTAGGGCACTGGGACTGTAGGGACAGAGAAGGTGGGGTGCCTTTCCTCCCCATCATAAGGGTCACAGCTGACACACCTGTAGCAAAAGACAGGTTAGCAAGAAAAAAGCATAACAGATTTATTTAATTAAAGGTTTCTGTGACATGAGCGTCTTCAGAAATGAAGACCCAAAAACTCAAGGAAAACTGTTTATTTTTAGGCTTAGATTCTATGAAGACCATGGAAATGCGCAGAAATGTGAGTAGAGAAAAAGGGAATGGTCTAATAGTAATAAACTGAGTGGGAAACCCAGCAAGGCTTGGCAGTTTGTATTCTTGGCCTATCTGTGGCTAAACCACCTGGTTTAGAAGCAGAAAATAAATTTGCTCCCTGTGTAGTCTTTAACATGTGGCAGTTCCTCTCTGGGCCTCAGCTTCCTCAGCTGTGTAATGATGGGATCGATTTGTGATCTCCAGTGCCCTTCTGACTCTGGCTAGATGACTTGTTTCTAAAGTAAGTGACAGACCGAGACCAGGAGTCCTTTGAGAATAGGGCCCATAATCACTACCTGGCACAGGACCTAGCACACAACAGATGTAAAATATTTGCTGACTTAATCATTCATTACATTAAAAAACAAAATCTCCGTGGAACACTTATGATCAGGCCAGGCAGTTCTAGGGCTGGGCTGTCTAGGTATGATCCTGTCCACAGATGGGGAATGTGTTAGGAATCAGTCTCAAATCTGACCACCAGAGTCAACTGGGAAGCCTTTAATACAGATTCCTGGACCCCACTTTGGAGTCATTGCATTAGAATCTCTAGGGGCAGAAGCTGAGAATCTGCCTTCAGACATGTTCTAAAGGTTACTGTGAGGCAGTTGGCCTGGCTATAGCCTTGATAGTGTGAGTCCTAGGATTAAGTGCCTTCTAGAACTTTCTTCTGACCAAGAAATGCCTTGAGAAACCATGCCTTTACTATGATTAAAGGTATTAACATCCCCATTGGAATTTGGAAGATGTCTCTCAAGTTTTGCATTCTCTGTGAAGTCTTCCCACCTCGAACCACAGCCTGTTGAAGTGGAAGGAACCTCAGAGGCCAGGAAGTCTTTAGCTGAGTTAAAGCCTGGGAGCATATGAACAATGGCTGACACACAGTAAGTGCTCGATACGTTTTATTTATTTTTTATTTTTATTTTTATTTTTATTTTTATTATTATTATTTTTTGAGACGGAGTCTTGCTCTGTCTCCCAGGCTGGAGTGCAGTGGCCAGATCTCAGCTCACTGCAAGCTCCGCCTCCTGGGTTTACGCCATTCTCCTGCCTCAGCCTCCCGAACAGCTGGGACTACAGGCGCCCACCACCTCGCCTGGCTAGTTTTTTGTATTTTTTACTAGAGACGGGGTTTCACTGTGTTAGCCAGGATGGTCTCGAGCTCCTGACCTCGTGATCCGCCCATCTCGGCCTCCCAAAGTGCTGGGATTACAGGCTTGAGCCACCGCGCCCGGCCAATACGTTTTATTTAACCACCTCACTTCACTGAATCCTAGAGACGAGGAGCAATTTACCCAAGTTCCCATAACCAACTGATGGCAGGGAGGGAATCAGAATCCAGGTCTCTAGACAGTTGTTCTGTTGTCTTTTGAGGTTTGTATTTACCCAAAAATATAAACATCTGTGTACACATCAGTTTGTCAGAAATCCATTGTTCATTAGCATCAGTTGGCATCTAGTGACCCTCAACATGTCACCTAGCAACATGTTAACACCATGAGAGATGCTAAAGAGTTGTCTAGAAGCCAAAGTCCCTGCTCTTAAAGGTGTTTCCAGCAGAGACCAGCAGGGTGAGGGAAGGGAAGGTACCTAGGGTCACACAAGCACAGGCTGGCACCTGGCAGTGGGCATCTCTCTACATTTTGCACCTTCTGTGTCTCACTTGTCTCACCTTAATCCCAGCCCTGGTGGTCTGTTTCTTTGGGGGAGACAAGAAGGAGCCAGATACCTGAGATGCTACCCCTGGATTGCTACGGAAAGTAATAAAGTTACTTTCCTTCTCTGATCTCAGTTGTCCACCTATTTATCAAGGATCTTTGACAGTCTCTCAGTGGTGGTGTCTGTGCTCTTCATTCCTAAGGGTATAAGGATAGCCTGAGCCATACAAAACAGGAGTACAAAACTGATGACATGGACAGTGGGGTGGGGAGGGTGGGAGAGCCTGCCCTGGCATTAAGAAGGGCCTTTATGCTGCAGTCAGCTTTTAAAGGAGGTCTAACCATTGGCACAAAGAGCATGACAATGAAAACAATGAGAATGAAAACAATACTTCCCAATATTTTCATCAGCAGCCTTTTAAATACATTTGGTTGACTTGTTCTCAAGGACCCTATGTTTTGAAATATATCGTTCTCCACCAAGCTGCTTCCGACTGCCCTCCGGTTAAAGTCTAAATTCCTTAGCACTTCAGACAGTACCCTCAAAATCCATCTGCTTCTTCATCTTTTGCCACACTCTCCATATTCTCTCTGCCTCCGCTATACTGTACATTTTTCAGTTCTTGCAGTCTGCCATTCTCCCTCACTTCCAGGTTTCATCACTGCTGTTCCCTCTGCTCGGAACAGAGGTTATCTCCCTTCAACTGGTTCTATCCTACTCATTTTTCATATCTCCACTAATGTCATGTCTTAAGAAAGGAGTTCGTGGTGGTCCCCTTGTCTTCCTATAGTTCCTAGAGTATGTGACACTTTCTACATCAACCCTTTGTTGTACTTTATCATCATGTCTTGTTTGTCTGTTTTCTGCACTAAATTATAAGATCCAAAAAGGCACCGGCACCAACACCAGCACAGAGCCTAATACATAGTAGTTGCTTGATACATATCTATCAAATAAATTAATGTCAAATAAAACAATATTTGGCATACAGAATAAGGAGAGCTTCAAGTCAGCAAGTTCTAACCATGTAGAGCCCGCAAGACTGGTCTGATTTCATCTTCTAGGAAGAGTCAAGACGTGTGGATTATGCTGAGTAGGCTTGTCAGAGGAGAGTGGATGATTTGCATTGGGCAAAATGAGAAGGGAGGGATAGAAAGAGAAGCTGTAGAAGAATCGTAAGCTAGTTTTGCTTCCATTCTGAGAACACGTCTTCCACATCCCAGACAAGTGAGCACTCGGAACCTCTTCATCCTATTTGTTAGAGACCTCTACAGGGAGCTCACTACTTACCTACTTGGTAGGTGAACAGAGACTGAAGATGACTTAAAAGGAGGTTTCACAAAAAGTGCTGATGCACTGTGTCTTCGAGGAAGATAGAACACAAGTTAATAAACTCAAAGGATTGTAAAAAGTTAAAACAATGAAAGCCAGCCTTATTATTGCTTAGTAAACACTTCAGGTTCTGGACTCAAAGATGGGATCAGCCACTCTAACTGATGAGCTTAGGTGGAAGCAGAAATGAGGCCCAGCCTGCGTCGATTCAGTGCCAACTTCCAACAGTAGCCCTTGTTTTGCAGTCAAGAAGAAATTGCAGAACTGAGCTGGGGCCCTGGAGCTGCCAGTTTCCTAAACAATTAGCAAATTTGATCTGAGGGCCAGCCAGAAGACAGGGAGTTCATCAAGAGGAGAGATGGGCGGCTGTAGTCTTTGCTTGTGAAACTAGTGCCTTCCAAACTCTGGGCTGCAGTTTTCTCATTTATGGGACAAGGTGTTAGACAAGTTGGTCTCAAAGGGCCAGGCTTTAGCATAAAGAGAGTAGCAGCCAGCATTCACTCAATATCCTATCCATACCAGGTACTGCCTTAATTAATCTCTGCAACCTCATGAGGTAGCCAACATTATTATCCCCATTTTGCAAATGAGGAAACTAATACATAGAGAGATTAAGTGACTTTGCTTAGGGTTATGCAGTTGGTAAGTCACAGAACCAGGCTTCTGACCCACACATACTATTCTGCTGTGAGCAGGTCTCTGTAAACCTACCCTACCCCTGGCCCCTGCCAAAGCCAGAGGGGGCTGAGAAGCTGAAGAAAGAAGCTGACATACCCAGTTCCTCAGAAAGAAACATTTGTTAGGGACTTACAGACAGAAGCCACAGAAGTCTTAGGTGGCTGTGAAGTGAGATAGTGGATCCCCGAGCTATTTACCCCTTCCCAGCCCAGGGCTTATATAGCATAGGGAAGGGGTGATCTCCCTATCGAAGGGATGTGCAGGCCAACCAAAGTGTGATAATATTAAGGTTGTTTTCACCTAAGGAGAATATTTTTGATAAGGACATGCTCTTACACAAGGAACAGTAGATAAACTGACAATCTTAGAGGCTTTTCTGGAACTGGAGTTAATCAGAAATCAACATGGTTGAATCGGCATCCCAGACAGAGTGTCTTTAGTCTCCACATATACTGTCTCCAGAGCCCTTGCCATTAACCTCTGAGCCAATATAGCAGGCAGGCCGTAGCGGTGTGTGGCTATTGCGTGCTGGGAGCGGGGCTAGTACAAACTGATCTGTGCTGTGAGTATAAAACACACAGTGTTCTCTGAAGACTTAGTTTGATAAAAGAATATAAAATATCTCAATAATTTTAATAAAATTACATATGGAAATATTTAAAACATATTTTTAATATAATGGATTAGCTGAGCACAGTGGCTCATGCCTATAATCTCAACGCTTTGGGAGGCCGAAGTGAGAAGATACCTTGAGCCCAGGGGTTTGAGACCAGCCTGGGCAACATAGTGAGACCACATCTCTACAAAAATTTAAAAAATTAGCGAATCACTGGAGCCCAAGAAATTGAGGTTGCAGTGAGTGGTGATTGTACCACTGTACTCCAGCCTGGGTGACACAGTGAGACTCTGTCTCAAAAATAAAAATAAAAATAAATAATGCATTGGGTTAAAGAAAACATATGCTTAAAATTATTTTTGCCTGTTTCTTTTTGCTTTTGAAAATATAGCCACCAGAAAATTTAAAATTACATGTGACTCACATTATATCTCTGTTGGATAGCGCTGGCTTAAGCTGTATACTCTTAAGGGATTGGCACAGGATTATGATTGACTCTGTGAAATCTAGGCTTATCTCCTGTTGGGGGTCCCCAGATCACCTCTAGGTTCAGTGATTTGCTAGGAGGTCTCACAGCACTCAGCATATAATTATACTGACACTATGATTTATTACAGCACAAGGTTACAAAATCAGCAAAGGGAAAAGGTGCATGGGACAAAGTCTGGAGGAAAATAGCCACGAGATTCCAAGAATCATCCCCCAGCTGAATTAAGCACACAGGATGTGCTTAATTCCTTTGTCAATGAACTGTAACAGCATGTGTAAAATGTTGTTTACCAAGGAAGTTCACTGGAGACTCAATGCCAGGGTTTTTATTAGGGGCTGGTCACATAGGCATCCTTGGCTAAGCACATACCAGAATTCCAAACTCCCAGAAGAAACGTAGGCAGTCAACAGAAACTGCATTGTTTGTACAGTTTAGGCATAATGAGCTACTCTTATTAGTTTGGGGAATGGTGGAAATCCTTCTGAAATAGAAGCTCCCAAGTGCTGACCCCAGGCCAAGCGTAGTGGTCTTTCTAAGGATCACAGTCTCGGGCCTGTACTACCAACAATTTGCTACAGATTTCCCAATGAGGCCTCAACAGGACCTGGCCTGGCAAATACTAGGTTTGTTGGGCTTACCTGAGATGGAGTTGTCCTAATCTGTTTGGGCTGCTATAATACAATTCTATAAACTGGGTGGCATGTAAATAACAGATTTATTTCTGCTAGCCCTACTCCACCTACTCTCCATACTTTTTTTTTTTTTTGGGCAACGGAGTCTCGCACCGTCTCCCACACTGGAGTGCAATGGTGTGATCTCAGCTCACTGCAACCTGTGCCTCCCAGGTTCAAGCAATTCTCCTGCCTCAGCCCTTTGAGTAGCTGGGATTATAGGTGCCCCCCACCATGCCCAGCTAATTTTTTTGTATTTTTAGTAGAGATGGGGTTTCACCATGTTGGCCAGGTGTTTTGTTGGGCTTACCTGAGATGGAGTTGTCCTAATCTGTTTGGGCTGCTATAATACAATTCTATAAACTGGGTGCATGTAAATAACAGATTTATTTCTGCTAGCCCTACTCCACCTACTCTCCATACTTTTTTTTTTTTTTG